CTCCTACTCAAACATCAGAAGGAAGAGGCTGCTGTAGTCCCACCAGGTTTTCAAATAAGAAGGGCCTGTTGTCCACTGGACAACCAGAAAATCACAGCCCAACAAAGGAAAGACCTTCCTCACCTCCCTTTGCCATCTCCTCCATCCTTGTTATTTTAATGAATAACTGTAAGCAAAATCCATTCCTACTTCCTAGCTGATGATAATAACTGCAATTTATTCTTTTTGTTTTATTTATTTGTTTTAATAACAGGGTCTCAACTGTTGCCCAGGCTGGAGTGCAGTAGCATGATCATAGTTCACCATAGCCTCGATCTCCTAGGCTCAAATGATCCTTCTGCCTCACACCCTCACCAACCACAAGTAGCTGGGACTAAGACACATGTGACCACACATGCTCATTTTTAACTTTTTTTCTAGAGATGGAGTCTCCCTGTGTTGCCCAGTCTAGTCTCAAACTCCTAGTTTCAAATGATCCTCCCAACTTGGTCTCCCAAAGAGCTGAGACTACCAGCATGAGCCACTGCAACCAATCCACTCACCTCAGCCTCCCAAAGGCATGGGATTACAGGCTGAGCCACCGAGCCCTATCTGAGAAATTCAGATTGTCATCATTCATAGAATAGAGCTATTTTTATGAACTGAATTATGTCCCCCCCCAAAAAAGGGGTTGAAGCACTAACCCCTAGTACTTCAGAAGGTGACCATATTTGGAAACAGGGACCTTGCAAAGGCAATCAAGTAAAATGAGGACATTATGGTAGGCTATAGTTCTTTTATAAGAATACTAAGACTTCTTAGAAAAGGGAAACATCTGAACACAGATACAGACATACTATACACAGCCCTAAGAGGACAGAGAATTGGAGCAATGCAAGCCAAGGAATGCCAAATGTTGCCCAAAACCACAAGAAGCCAGAAAAAGGAAAGGAAGGAACATTTCCCTAGAGATTTCAGAGGGAGTATATTCCTGACAACACCTTGATTTCAGACTTCTAGCCTTTAGGACTTTGGGACAATAGATTTCTATTGTTTCAAGACATCTCCTGTGTGGTACTTTGTGACAGCAACTCTAGCAAACTAACACAGCTACCAAGAATCATTCACACAGGCAGCAAAGAGAAAGTCAGCC